AGACGAAGGTGAAAAAGTAAAAGGGCTATATTTAGCTATTAGTCCAAATGGTGATTTTGTAGTAGAATTTGGTAAAATTTCTGTAGAATAAACTATTTATCTCTTCTAATATCAAATTCTTATCCAATTATTAATTTATAATGATTATTTGATTTATAGTATTATTGTCAAGTGAATCGAAAGTATGGCAATTACGCGCGTATAATGTTGAGAATGAGAATGTTAAGGATTCGGAGAAAAATAACTACTTGGGTCTGAAAAATGGACTATCGTATAGAAAATTTTCTGAATTTGTCATATCTAAAAATACATTTACAGATAAGCAATCTGAATTGACCAATTCTGAAAACAAACTGAGTTGGTCTATTGCTGTATCAGATAGATTTAAGTCATGTTCAACTGTTAGATTATTAGCGATATCTTGTATAAGCAAACATGACATGACATATAATGATTCTAATAACCATAAACCTGAATCAAGCTCTACCTCTAACCCTAACACTGATCATAGTTCTAGCTCTGATCCAACTCCTGAACCTAAACCTGGGTTTACTATCGTTTATTTGATTAATAGAGATCATTCAATTGAAAAAGAAATATTAAGCCTAGATAAATACGGTGGAATAGTCAAATTGTTTTCGAAAAATGAAGATAAAAAAAAGTCGGATAAGGATAGCCAAAATATGGATAAAAATACCAATGAAGATAATTATCAAAATATAGATAAATCCTTTCTTGTTATTTTAAATGCCTCTGGGATTCACAAACATCACTTTGAACACTTAAATAAACCTATTGGCAAAATTTAAAGTTTATTCGAATGCTTATATAAAACTATTGGCAAATTCCAAATTTTAAAGTATCCTACTATTAAAATTCAAAGTTTAGATTATCCAAAGCGAATACGTAAGGCCTTAAAATATAACAATTTTTCGGCTGAACGTAATCTGAAATATATTCTAAGATGTTTAAATAAACATTATTTTTTAGTAGATACTACAAGTGAGGGTGCACAATATATGGAGCTATATGATATAAAAACAAACCAGTTAGTAAATACCTTTAGGAGGCAAAATTTAAACAGCTTAAAAAATTACATACTAGATATTTCTGATAATTTTGCAATATCACACAATAACAAATTATTAGCGTATAAATCTGGAAAACAGATCAAATTATACTTGCTTCTATAAATCTTAAGATTGAAAAACCACCTTTTTATGACTATTTTTTTAACAATGATGAGAGATTATTAATATAACGATCAAAAAATAAATGAGCTATTTGGAATATTTTCGGTTCAATACAAGAGTCAATTAAACTCGAAAATGAACTTGAACTTGATCTTAAAATCGTAGGAACTTTTTTGGATAAAAATTATTATCAATTGGAACAATCAAACTCTTTTGTAATTGTTGTTAAAAACAAAGAAGAAGAAGAAATGGAATTCTCTGAAGATAAGCAAATTTATGATGATTTAATTTCAGATCATACATATTCAAAACAAAAAGGTGACAGACAAAATTTGAAGAGACACTATTGCTAAACGAAGGTTTTGCAGATACAGACAATAAGAAGTTTTTTATTTTTGATCTTGATAATCGAAAATCAGAATTAGATAACTATTATTATATAATTGAGCCTTGGGTGCGGCTTGAGAAAGGAGGAGCTCCACGATATTCAGTTTATCTCGACAAAGAAAAGGAAATTCTACTTTTGATCGGAAGTGATACAATTCAGGTTTGGCATGATCGAGCTGCTGAAAAAAAGAGGACCCTTGAATTCATTAGTGTGATCGATGATAAAAATGATATTAACCATATTGAGTATGAAAATAAAAAATTTAGAATTACCAAAAAATCTCAATCCGTAATTGAAATGAGTTGTGATGATGACTTAACCATTACTGTAATAGAAGCTTGTCGCACACTTAAATTTTTGAAAGAAAAAGTTGATAGAGTTGATAAAATTGTTAAATATTTATCATTATCCGATGAAAAACACTATTCAAAATTTCAAGAGATAATCAAACTAACACGAAATATTATTGTAAGATTTATTCAATTATATCCAATTACTTGGCGATTATTAGATGTTCGCTATGATTTATTGAGCATTCTCATTGAAGCGGGCGAACGTAGGCTTATTAAATATGTATTGTTAAAAGAAAAAAAAGAGATCGATTATTCTCAAAAACCTCATGATTATTTAGTATCCAAATTAGAAAAAAATGAAAAAGCACTTGATTATTTAATATCCAAAAAAGAAAAAAAAAGAACTTTCTCATGATATACACGATATAAAGCCAGATCAGGATAGTTTATTACATGAGAAATCACTTCATATGCCCCAAATTTCTTCATGGGAAGGTAAAGGGAATACGATTAGAAAAGCCTATTCAGGTTTGTTTATTTAAATTTGCGCCTTTGACTATAAACGTATTTTAATTATTAATTAATTTAGTTATTCTTATTAGATCGTGATCCGACATACCTAGGATATTTATTGGAATATTATTCTAATAAAGCAGTCAAAAATATTAGGTGGATGATTACAGTTGGTGAAATTTTACCAGGACTATATACTAAGAAGAATGGTAAGTTATAACTTCTCACTTAATCAACATGTAAATTATCTCAAACATTTATCATTTTTTCATATAGAATATTATAAGTCGTATCAACTATTATTTTATAAACGTTGCTTTTGTGAAAAAGGATTGGATATACCATTTTTTGACTTTCTTGTAATCCCACAAAGCACACAAAACTCTTTAGTTTTTATACCTATAACACAATTGATTCCACAGAATTCTGGGTTGAAAGCAGGTAATTTTCCTTAAATGTTATTTTCCACTTTATTAATTATAGTGATTGGCGCCGTAATCATGTGATGCTAATTGTCACATGATACAAAATATAAAAATCAACAATAAAATCATAAGAATAACTTATAATTAAAAAAAGAAATTGCGAGACTAGCTCAGTAGTTGTGCTAAAAATTTTAAAAATCCTTTCTATAAAGGCTTTTTAATTTTGTTCTAATTTAAAATCACAAATTATTTCATTCTTGATTTGATAAATCCAAATTTGATGAATTAAAAGCAAAAATTTCTTTTTCAACCGTAACAGAATTATGAATTTTTATTTGAGAAAGTGGTTCTTGATTATTTCTGCTAGTTCCATCGATGCTATTTAACATATTAGCATCACTTCCAGTGCTACTTTTATTGGAATCGTTAGTGTTAGCGGATGAATCATATTTATTTGTCCAATTTTCATGCACAGTATATATGATCGCATTTCCTATACCACCAAAGTTTATAAAAACTACCGCTACAGTGTAAATCCACATATTATCGTACTAAAATAATAATAATAAATTCGAGATTAAAAGGAAATTTCATATCACATATGAATCAGTCACATTTATACGTACCTGAAGCATTTGAGCTATAAAATAAATAATTGTAGGAGTCCATTCTATAAGAAATATTAGGATATAACCAATAATTTTTTTTGCAACAAGAAGATCAATGCGGCTAACTGTAGCAGAGTCAGAACCAAGATTTCGCATCTTATTTTGTTGGATATTAACTTGTAATAATGTAGCAAGATAACAAAATAAAGTAACAATCATTATTAAAAAAATCATTGCAGTAGTTATTAATGGTGTTATTGGATCACTTGGCGCACTATAACACCTGTTAAAAAATAATTATAAGCAATGATGTTTCTCATAATGTTACAAACTAATTTTTACATAAAACATACCAAAATTTATTCGGACCATAATCCTTAACTCCAATCAAGGTTAATGTTAAAGTTATTGTAAGAATAATCGAATGAAGTTTATAGTCATATATTCCCATGTCAAAAAAGCGTTTTCTACATATTCTAAGATATGTCACTAAAGACAATAATCCAACTAAAGCCATGTTAGCTGTGACAGCGAAGAAGGTTAATCCACCAGCTAATTTACATCCTACTCCTTGGAGAGTTTGACCATAAATTGCCGAATATCCCTTATTTATCAGAAACAAGTTAATACAGTATTAATATATAATTTTTTAGATTAATTGAAAGAATACATACTGCATTGATGTAATTTATAATAAGTATACAGAACTCTAATTATATGAAATTTGTAACAAAAATAAAATGAATTATTAGCAAAATAATACATAATATATACTAAAATATAAAGGATGAAAAAATATATACCTGTAACTGCTATGTAAAATGGAACCCTATGAACCATTGGCAAGGATTTTTTCGTTATCCACCATCGTGATAGCGTCCTCACAAATAAGTAAATTAAGCAAATTAAATTTGGAATACCAGCAACTAAACCGGATGGTAAAATGATATAAAAGCCAGGAAGTTCTCTGAGGTTTGTGCCATCCGTGTAGTAGCTCATGATGAAATTAAACAAAAGAAGACGCTGGAGAATGAATTGCAAGATTGAAAAAATATGTTCGTATAAAAAAAAAAGAAGAAAAAACTACAAAATATATATGGAAAATTTTTAATTAGTGATTTACATTAATTGAATAAAATAAAAAATTTTAATTTTTTGATCTACATTCTCGCTTTATTGTATTTCAAAACAACATACTGTGTGCCTGTGACCAATAGGAACAAAAGCCGGGAATTTTAGATGTGCAAGTTTCATATCCATTTATTACTTGGGATCATCATGAATTTGATTTTACTTTTGGTAAGATCTGACACTTTAACCAATAATTTCTGCATTTTATGCCTAAAAAATGTAATCTAGTTGATCTCAATTAATGCATTTAGTTTATCAACGTTAATAAATTAAATTTTTTCATTGATCTAAAAATTAGAGTTTTTACCGGTTCTTAGGTGAATGTACGTACAAGGTTACATAATGCTGTAATGATTACTATAATATTTATGTAATACTAATAAATGGTTGTACTTGCGTCGCCAATCTTTTTTTTTAGTATTTTTTTAATCTCATTATAAAAAACTCTATTATAAAAATTTACTAACTATTATATATACACAGTCAACGTTGGCACTGGAGTTCTGGAACCCCATTGGACATCCAGATTCCAGGGTTCCATTAGGATTTCCCACTGGAATTATCCCCCGTTAGAACGTTATGGATGATATTTATCTAATTGGTTAACTTATCGTTATGTAAATAAATTCAATCTTCACGCACATTACGTATTATTAATGTGAAATGATTTAAGCGAAAATAGTTCGTTATTATTGAAAAGTCTTGGTATCGCTCGGATCAATCAAAAATTACCAACCCGAGTGGTGATTTTTTGCTGACTCAATTCCTATATTGACACAAAAAAAATGTATTTTATACTAAGTAAGCTAATCCAAATTGTTGACTTCTAGCGCCAATTATCCTTATGCTTGTACGATCACGTTGAATGTGTAACATGAAGCGGGAGAATGGTTTCTGTTCAACTTTTTTGATGTTCGCTATGCTGATTTTTGCAAAATCCTTTTTGGTGTAAGTAATGATTATGTGTTTATACGTGATTTAAGTCATACTGGTGTGAGAATAAAGTACGACTGATTACGTAAAAATTACATTTGTCCGATTATAGTAAGAGTTAAAATTATATCGACATAGTACATCATAATTACTTGATGATATGTGGTATCCGGAATACATTGTACTTATGTGAAGAAATAATTGCGTGGGAAAAATAACGCTATAGTTGTTTTAACATATACTTATTAGTGATATTCTGGAAACCTGAGTAATATCATGAATCCTCACAATATGGTGGTCTTTATCTTATAAAAAGTTATGGAAAGATACTGGACCCATATATCATAGAATTCTGTCCATACCACGAAAATCATAGGACCACACTTTTTTGTAATATATGCACTCTAACATTTTCAATTGATCGTATCCAAAAAAAGCATCTAAAATGAGTGAAAAGATGATCAAATTATGACGATATTATTTTAAATCTGTGATTATTGCGATATTTCAATTGCTTAAATGATTAATGTCGTAGTTAGTGAGTCAATTAATCTTTGAGAAGAATTTTTTTATATGTTAATTTCGTTCCTTTTACTGGATTAGTGAATTTCGTAACAAACTTTCTTATGGTAATTCGATAATTGCAATGCAAACTAATCACCTGATGTGATCGCTAAAATAACGAGTAGGTTCTTTAATTTTTTTAATTGCATAGCAAACTAAATCAACCACATACTGTGGTCACTAGTATAGTAAGTTCTATTTCAGTTTTTTACAATAACTCAATATAAATTAGAATAATTTTGATTTCTAACTTAGACTTAATTACATAGAAGTTGCGATGATTCAAATACAAATTAATTAAATTAATTCAACCTTAACCACATATAGAATGCCACCGGAAGGATTTGTCGTTCAATTCCCCGAAAGCTATTTACTCGCCAATTCATTTCACCGCAATGCCTATTTCATCTACAGCACATTTTTTCGATAAGACATATATTCGACATTACATATTTTCGACAATACTTTTATTAGATAAGACATTCCCCCGATAATCATTTCTTCGAAATAAAATCAGCCCAATTTAACCTGACTTAGAATTAGTGTTGTTAGAATTAAATGTCGGGAAATCATTGTCGGAGAAATGTCAAAAAAATGTATCAAACATATGTCTTATCAAAAAAATGGGCTGTAGATGAAATATCATGTCGGCATTACGGTGTCGGGGAAATGAGTTGGCGGGTAAATAACTTTCGGGGAATCGTGCCATAACCCACTGGAAGAGTAAGTTCCATAACAGAATTTTTACAGTAACTCGCTATAAAAATCACTACAATTCGAATATGGAATAGCAAGTTCTGTAACAGAATTTTTTACAATGATCTGCAATTAAATAATTCCACTAAAAGCTAAACTAATTCAACCTTAACAAAATTAGATATCAAAGTAATTCGTGATGATTATAATTTCTTGGGTTGTTGAATATTAGTGGATTGATCCCAATCATTAATAATGGAAATACATGACTGATATTGATCGGCAGCTTACACGGCCAATCATGTATTTCCGTTATTACTGTCTGGGATTAATCCACTATTTGAACAAATACTTTGAAATGAGTGCGTGAGGGTGAAAATTAGGAAATAAAATTTATGATTGGTTAAATTTTATTTCCTGGTTTTCACTCTCACGCACTCAATCACAACATGGTTGATCGTGCTGGTCCTGTATCACGTGCTGCGCGGCTATCTTATAAATTATGGCGGTGTGATCTCTGCAGATCATAATTAGGGTAGCTGCGCGTTAAAACAAGGAACGTATATGAGTACATCTTAAAATTAAAAATTTCGGAAATAGACCTTATTTTACATTATTATATTTTATAGTAAGATTATAATAAATTGATTACAAAAGGGAAATTAATTATATCGTTGTTTAATTTCACATTTATCTATTATTTTGCACTATCAATTATTTATTCCATTATTTCGTCTCAGCTATGTTTCTACTTACATATATTGTTACCTTTTTATACCCAGCTTCTATCATACAGTTGACAAAAGGGGGAAAGGTAAAAAAGTTGAAGGAAAATAAAGCTTTTAAATTCTATAAAATTCACATATAATCTGATTACAAAACAGAATAAAAATTTGTTAAGTACTAGTAGTTAGCACATCCAAATGTCCGTGCTTAAATTGAAATAGATTGGTCGCGCAACCAAAATTTGGCAGATCCGGGACGGAATAGGTTGAAATTGATAAATTTTGCTAATAATCAAATAATTCATGCGCTAAATAAAATCCAGCCATAATTTTGCTATAATGTAGTTAATTACAATTATTGCTTAATGCCGGCCTAACTCTGCATTCTAACCTAAACTTTGGCCGATTTTCTGATTTTTGGGTTGTGTGACTAATTTATCCGTAAATAGCATGATCATACCATATTGGAATTTTTGCTAACTATATAACGCGCCATTATAATTTTTCCGCGGGTGAATTAATTAACAACGATATCGAAAGATAAAATGATGAATAAAGATATAATAGGTAAGATTGGATAGCTAATTGGAAATAAAAAATAAAATGAAAAACGTAACATAAAAACTTCAGTCTTTTAAGTTTATCATTATTATTTATCGTGAAAATCCGAACAGATATATATTATATACGACTGGCATTTGTTACGTAATATTTTAGGGGGTGGGAGTTGAGCATGTATTATATCAATACTTACGTTACACAAAGAAAATTAGTATTTTTTTTAAATTGGCCAATCATATTGGATCTTATGTGGGGCCCTCATAGTAAATGGATATTACGAAATATATGTCACAGCTCTAACATAATAGATATTACTATTGTACTATCAGGTTTTTAAGGCCAAATCTAGCAAAAATAAATTATAAAATCGAAGGCTCGAAGTATGATTTATTCCTCTCGTTTATGATAGTTCATAAATCAGAAATATTTATTTAATTTTTTTTAATTTTTATTTAATAATATAGCTTACTATACCATACTTAAATTATAATTTAAATTTTTCTTTAGATTGCAAGATAACTTCCTTGCTAAACAAAAAGCTTGTTTCTTGTGTAATATTTTACGATAGGATTTTGAAATCTGGGATAAGCTATGTTGATCTCTAAATCTAAAAGATGTGTATAATAATATGGAAGGCCAAAATAGTATGGTAAAGGGTGTAGAATATGGACCTATTTAAAAAACCATACATACCATAATAATCTCCGATCACTATATCAAGATTATTATAACTTATACCTCATACGTGCGAATTTGGTCGCCCACATCATTACCATAATTTGACACGTTGCCCGTTCATTTTTACGAATTAAAAATCGATAAACCTTAAAAAAAAAAGGATCGACAGACGAATAGATTACAGAACCTAAAATTGCCAATCTAATCTGTTAAAAGTAACAGATAGAACGTTAAATCCTTTATTAATTAAAGGATCACTTATATTAATATTTCTGTATTAGGTTAATGTGTAGCATTGTCATTGTTAGAAAAAAAAATAAAGAAATTATACTGATTTTATCAGTTAGGACCGTAACTTTGACTTGAACTGACTGTTATGAAATCTAAAATTGAATTTTATTAGTTTCGAAGACAAATTTATCATTATTAGTGTCACGGTCGTAACCGGTCTACGGCGTCCTTGTTAACCTTCCCTATTAGAATTTCTTCGCTTCACTTGATCGTGGAGATAGTGTATTGTTAGATATTTCCTCATGTGCCCCTGTCACGCACATAAGAGTCGTAACCATCCATAACTTAGTTACGTCCTTTATATGCGAAAAGGTTCCTTATATGCTTAACATTCGATTCTAAATTAATTGCATCAGAATTAATCATACGATACTTATCTTAATCTCACATTTCTTATTGGGGTGTTCGATATACTATGTA